CAAGAGTCCACCTCCCTGAGTTTCGGTTTCAATTCAGCTTTAAAAAGGAGATAATAAACTACACCCCAGTTTTTAAATTTTGTTATAGGCAACGTAAAAGCGAAGTTATACTAAACTAAAAAAACGACCTATTGTTAGACAATCTGACAACTTGTCAAAACAGCAGTTTAGTAATCCATGAGAGGGAATGTGCTTGTGAACATAAAAAAACCCACAGAAACATGAGATCCTTTTGCTGCTGTTGGAAGTCTCACATATTCAATTGATAAAAAGTATCATTATGTATAATAAATAAACAACTTTTTTCCAATTTGGATTTTATGTTTTTGAGTGATTTAAGGTCTACTATGCAACCCCTCTATGTCCAAATATAAAAAATAAGTATAAATTCATGAAGTCCAGGTTGTGCTGAAAAGATTGATCCACATAAGGCAGTGGTTACGGTTTTTGTTTTGGAAATACAAAGGAAAACTCTAAAATTGTGAAAAACGGCAAATTACACCCTGGACCCCAGAGGGTTAAATTCAATTCTGCAACAGCACTGAACTGCCCAAGGATGCACCTGACTTTAATTGATTTCACTAAGGACACATATCGGCTGATGCCGATATATTGGTCTACATCTAATCCGATCCTGGATGAATGTGTTGCCCAAAAGTTGGTGCAGGCATTTCAGGGTTAAACTCATCTTTTGTTGTTTCTTGTTGTAAAACTTAACGACATTCCTGTCAGCATCAGCTATACTTTGTATTTATGGCTAATTAACAAATGTGAATATGTCAACACAATAAACTACGCCACAGAGCTGATTTATTATATCTGCTTAATCATCACCATTTACAAATGCTGCCATTAACCTACTGAGCAATTTTAACATCTAGTCTAGTTCCAAGTATTTTTAGATCACATTTAGTGCAATATAGTTTTTGCAAAATATTTTATATTAACTTGTAAGATGCACAATTTTGAAACAAAACCAAGAGCACAACCTTGGAGTAAAAAAGAGCTCATCTTGTGATCCGAAATCCTAGAATAGAATAGAAACATTCTTTATTGTTACACAGTGGGTAAAGTCAAGTTTACCAGCAGCAGTCCAAGAATGTTTTACAGTCACGCCAACTGATAAATAAAAAAAATGTGTTAGAAATGACTATAAATATGTACTTTAAAGTTTAGATGGAAACACGAGGCAATACATTCTTTTTTGACAGGTGAAAATCTTCATTTGAATTTATTTATTTAAATGGGACAATGCATATTAATGAACGTACAAGACGTAAATTTACCTGAATTAGCAAAGCTGATTTCCATCTGTAGTCCCATGTACAGAGAGCACAGACATTACAATTTAAAACAAGGTAAAATACATACAAGAGAAGCATTAAAAACAAGGATAGCTAAAATATGTGAATAACGTAACTCCTTATATTCTCCATATGTGTTAAAAACAATCAAATTCAGACATGAGGCAAATCATTAGATTTCAAGGATAAAATGACAACAAGAACAAGTATCGATAAAACCAGATGATTAATGTTTGCACTGACGATTTCGAAGTAGCCATGTTTTCAACTGACTTTTGAAAGTATGGAAGGAAGGACTGTCTCTTATATTAACTGGCAACTTATTCCACTCACTGCATCCCTTCTGTACAAATGTAGTTTTCCTAAATTTTACCTGGCAATCCCCCCTTGAGGTCGATCGGGTGTCTGGTACTATTTTGTCTTTTTAAGTATTCCAATAGGTGTACTGGTGCATTGCCTGTCAGCGATTTGTAAATGAGACAGAAGTTTTTAAAAGTCTTAAAATCATTAAAGGTTAAGAAGTTATGTTTTTCTAAAATCTGGCAAAAGTGATAGGATGGTGGTTTTGGGTGGTTTAGGATCGCTGGCTGTAATGCACATAACACACAAGCTTGCAATATAAGGAAGGACAGCAAATGTCCCCCTCCAGCTCAGCTGTGTGACTGCACTAACCTGTCCTGTGTGACCCTCACCATGTAACCCTCATGCCCATGCTGTCTCTGGAGGAGCAGATAGGAAACAAGATCTCCTGTAACTTAAATGAACCAAAGCTTCCTCCCAGTTTCTCTTTAAGCTGAATTTAACATCAGTTTATCATAATTAAACAAAAGAATAAAGTGGAACAAAAACTTCTGTCTTCTACTTCTCTCTCCTTTTAACTTCTCCGTGTCCCTAAATAAAAGAGACAGATGATTATTCTGCAGCCGCCGTACCCCTCCTAAAGACCGGATCTCCCGGCATCACAACACTTGGTCTGACTGAGCGCTTCAAGGAGAAATAATAATGCAATCATGAAAATAATAATGCATGTTTGGAGGTGCGTCCTCCGATCCTTTCTCTTATGTGAGCAGACAATCCCCCCCCCCCCCCCCCCCCCCCCCAGTCGCTGTTCAAGCGAGCGGAGTGCGCTTCGCGACAACCCGCTCAATTGGCATAATTCACGGCCCAAATCCAACAGAACCGATCGGGCTGACTCGGTTCGGGTTCGGTCTCAGATTACAACTGCGCTCAGCCTTGCAGTGCCACATAGAGGCGGACCAAAGTTTCCTACTAGGTAAATGTGGAGAACACCCATTCTGACAGATTTGGATGCTACGCTGGTGCCGCCATTAAAATAACAAAACTACATTCCACTATAATTGATTATGGTACTCTTCTAAGATGAATGGTTTATGTCCGCATCTCGATGCATCAATTATTTGATTATTTTCCTCAGTTCTAAACACCTCCCGGTCCGTCGGGGGTGAGGGTGGGGGGTGCGCGCAGGGTTCGGGGGCCACAGAGATAGGGCTTGCGGGCTGGACATGGCCCGCAGGCCGCCTATTGAGTACCGCTTTAATAGACCCTACTGACCTGCTCTATGAAGAAACAAAGAGCTATTTCAGTGGAGTGTCTAGCTGTAGAACATTTAAAACTTGTGATGATTTTGAATATATCCTCCTTAGTTGCATTAACTGGATGAAAGGTAGGCAAATCTTTATTAACTGGGCATGGAATAATGGAAGGGGACAGGAAAAGATTTGTAAGGTTGGTTACGCTTTCTATTAAAAAATTATTAAAAGAATTTGCAACCATCCCAGGGTCACCAATATCTTCAGTGTTTATGGTTAGCTCAATAGGTCCATTTATCTTATTATTTTTGCCTAGAACTTCTTGAATAGCCTGCCATATTATCGTACTATTTCCTTTTGCATTTTGCATAATGGTAATAAAAAACTTTGCCTTAGCTTTTTGTTTATATTGGGTAGCATTATTCCTTGCCTGTGTGAATTTCAGTCTGTCAGTTAATAATCTAGAGTGTAAATATTGTCAGAGCAACAGATCCCTGGACTTTAGTAGGCTATAGCAGTTGCCATCTAGCCAAGGTAATGAATTTGCTTTCCTTTTTTGCCTATATTTAGCTGTCAAGTTTAAAGATGAGATCACCTCTTTAAGTTTTCAGAGAAAGCCTTACAGTTTGCTTCAATTTTTGAATTTGATTAAATGTTTTCCCAGTTTATTTCCTAGTTCTTTACTAATATTCTTTTTCTGAGTGTGTATAGTTGTTGGTGTGGTGGTGTGGGAGATGGAGGTAACGTGGGACCTTGCATAACTCTGTTTTAATAGCTTCCTAGAGAAAAAAAGGCTGTTATGATCTGAGAGGCCAGTCACAAAGTTATGTGTTTTAGCTATCCAATCAGGCTTATTAGTAAATAATAGGTCTATGGTTGTCTGCAATTTCTCTGTTAGTGTAGTGGGTTGATCTACTAGCTGCTTAAAGTTATAGAAATCCATTATGTGTTTTAGGCTTCTTCTTTCCTTTTTGACATCCCAGTTTATATTAAAATCACCCATGATGATGATTTCCTTGTGATCACAAGATTTCAGTAACTCTTTTAACTGCTCATAAAAATCTACTTTAGAGGACGGGCTGCGATAGACACAAATAAGAGTAAATGACATTTCTTTTGACAAAGTAATTTGTGGTCCAATTATTTCCAGTGTAGTAGTATTATGCCAGGATAACTGCTGGCAAGTTAGTGTGTCTTTAATGTACAGCAATACCCCCCTCCTTTTGACGACCACCCTATGTTTCCTAAAAAGTCTAAAACCAGGCATATTTACTATAGTGCTTCAGCTGATGATGGTTTTAACCAAGATTCCGACAGTCCAAAGCAGTCGATGTTAGAATTATATATAGATGCTCCAAATGTTCCCCTTTGTTTCCAATGCTTCTAATGTTTAGATGTCCACAGAGTAATCCTTTAGGCTTGGTTTCTGGATCCCAAATCATTTTAGACTGGTTTAGTGTTCTAAACAGCTTCCTTTTCCTGTGATATTTTAGAACTAGATTTCTAGATTTTACCTTGATGTGAATGAAAGCATCCAAGACCGATGTAATGGAATTAGTTTATATGTGATTTGTTCCTGATGTTACAGGCTCCTTCGTAGCTTTGTCGACCATCGATTGCTCTTCCTTGCGCCTCACTTCTCGAAGATCTGATCTAGCACCTTCCTCATAAAGGATGAAGTTGAATAATAAAAAATGCTATTCTTTGTCACATATTTAAAATCACAACCTACAGAAAAAAAATAACTCTGGTCAGGGATGAGTTGTGCTAGTTTTAGAAGATGACAGTGGGCACATCATGTGGTTCCTGGGCCTGCTCTAGTAGAACTTATTATTCTTCCTCATCCTGGCTAAATTTTGAATGATTGTTCAGCATTCTGGTCTTATTCTAGACATCTGATAAAGTTTATAAACCAAATTCTGCTGAAATTCATCCTGAACATCTTCTGGCATTTTAAGTTGTTCTTCTGCTTTGTTGTTCTAGCATGTGAACTCTTTTTCTGTTTTAATAGAATATTTGAGAAAACATTTATAATATATTCAGCAAAAATTTTACAAGGTCACTCACCAAAGTTTCTGCAAGTTTTAACTGCTTATGCTGTGTGACCGGGTTTAAGTAACATTCCTACTTGCTACCTGTAATGCAGGTGGAGAGAACAGACTTATCCTTCTCCGACCCACGAGAACCAGTTGTTCGAGGAACCAGATTTCCAGGGAATGGTTTTTATCAGTTTCCCAGTAACACTCTGCCCAGTAATACCGACTTCACAGGTGAGACATTATCTAAATACATACAAAACATATTTTTAGAGAAATTGTTGTTTGCATGCCTGTGTGAGTGTGTCCCACAAGCTAGTCTCTTTTAATGATCTTTATGACCTTTTATTTTTTTTTCCTTTAATTGTCCTTTAATTGTGATTTTATTTTCTTGGTCAAACTCTTTGAGCATTTTTTCTTTGATAGGCACTTCATTTACAATCTTTACTTGTAAATGTTTCACATAAACAACCTGAAATATGACAAAATGTAACATCAGTCCTAAAGGTAGAGGAAGAAAAACCCAAGTAAACAATTCTTAAAGAAAAATAAAAAGGGTTGCATGGATTTAGTAACAATATTCATGCATATGTATTTATTAATGGCAAATAAATGTGAACCGCTGTTTTCATTTTCAACTTAAAGAGACAGTATGTAGTTTTTACCATATCAGATATCCTTTGAAATGTTGTTGAAACTTAATTAAATGATACCCAGTTGTTAAAAATATTTGCGGCTTCGTAACATATAACCATAAAAATTGGGTCTAAAATACATGGGTCTAGTCTTGGGCGACACGATATTGAACACCATGCGTTCTTCTACGGGAGCCCGAGAGGACAATATGCATTTACTGATTTGTAACAAATGGTTACAAAACTTTTGCCGTTCCTAAACGTTGTTTTACACATTTACCTCTTCACTCATTGCCAGGGAGTCTGATGTGCTTTTCATTTTGCTAGACGTAGTGCTCCCAGGGATTTTTGACCCTAATGGCCTTCCATGGGTAAGGTCTTACTCGAACATAAAAATTCCGTTTGATTGCAATGATGTATGCATATACTGCCCCCTATCGCCAGGGAAAATATACACCGTCACTTTAAAACACCTTGAAAAAACCTTAAAGAAGATTTTTCTTGGAGAATAACAGAAATTCAGGGATCTGGGTTAACTACAACTAAAGTCAATACTTTTATCACTTCAAACATTTCTTTTTGTTTTTATTAAACTATTCTATTTAATAAACATGTTTTAAAATAAATATAATTTAAATAATGCAAAATATTTCTGACCAGGTCTCATGAATCACCTATACAATTTCCTCTACACCCATCAAACTGCTGCTGTTTAATATTGTTATAAAGTCTAAAAACTGCAATGGAACCCGCTCAAATCTCATTAACACAATAGAATGAAACGTGTGTCCACTTTTAAGTTGCCTGCCTCTAATTATATTTTGCTGATAATAAAAGCAAAATGACGAGAAAGTTTGACTCATTTAATAAACTTGCATTGGTATTCTGTGCACAGTTTGTATTAAAAACGTCTGTTGATTGATTCATGTTGTTTTCATGCAGAAACATTGCAAATGCTAAGTAATCAACAACCTTTAAATCTCCACTGATCTTCTGCACTTGGATCAGTGGATGTTTTTTGTGCTTTATTTAGAGTCGGAAGTGCGATCTCTCAGTCGACTTGTAACATTTCTTTAGAATGACTTCTCCAGTCATCTTAAAGGACAATTATCTTTCTGTTTACTAGCATCATTAGAAGGTTGAGCTGCACAGCTAAACATGTTCTGCTTCATCTGAGAACATCACCCAGTCTGACGCTCATAATTAATGACTGCTGATACTAATCAGGGGGATTGAGCATGCAAAGCTCTTTGATGCCACTCCAGATTGCTTCACTGTCCTGCACAAACCTTGTATCATCAATTCTGCTTGTTTGTGAGGAAAAACATAAAATCTGAAGTTAAAGTATTAAAAAAGAGACGATTCCAAAACCTCAATAGAAGTGAAGTAAATCTCAAAAATGCATTCATATCTTTGGTTTTTGCAAATGTTCTAAAACTTCTCTTAATGCGTAATTCTTGTAAACTGTGATCAGTTTGTGAAAGCAGCGTATTATTTTGACATAATCTTGAGTAAAGTATCCAGTTATTTTTATTTTACACACCAGAGTATAAACATGTATACACTAATATTATTATTATTACTTCTTTACCCATAATTCTTAGTTGAGTTTTGATGTCTTCCTTGTCTCTCCGGTGCATCGGTAAATAGATCTCTCATCCAACAAGTAGATTATGATTTTTGCTATGGAGGGTTGTTTTCATTCCCCCCCATTCTCCTCCTTCATAAAGGGTAATGGATCAGACAATCACTTTCAGACTATACCTATTCTGAACCATCAATGTGTCGGCAGTCCTCAAACCATCGCCCTTTTACAACCATCAATACTAATAGCATCATCTACAGACAATTATTCCCATAGAAGCTCACGGAACAGCGAACAAATCAAAGCCAAATTGGATTATGAATGTAATGCAGTGTAATGCCCCCTCGAGAGTCAATTGATCACAGAGAGACTCATCAATCGTTGATATCTCATGGAAACCTTGCAACTCCACCAATGATAACTGTACTGCTTACTTTTATAAGGTGACCAATTTTATTTGTGTATATTTATTTAATTTTTGTACGTCCATCTTGCATGACCAAAGGGAAAAGAAGATCTTTGCTTGTAAGTTTCTGAGACTTTAGAATACCCAGTTTTAGGAAACTCACAGCATTTATCTTTGAAATGATCCTTAATGTCTCTGAAATTTCACATCATCATTTTTCTCTGTCAACTTTATACAATGTCCTAGGAATATTAATAATTGTTTGTTTCCATTGAGGCTCTTATTGCACACTCTCATTTCCTAAACATGTGAATTAAGGCTTCCTCCTTGAGCAGGGTCAATATTCTGCATGGTAAATCCTGCTAAGGTCATGTGAAATTGAATGATATTTGCCCTTTCACCTGTTATTTAATGGTTACTTTGCTAAAACAATTTTTTGGGAGCAAAAGTGTTTTTTTTTCATGTGCTATTAGTGTGATCAGAGTGCATGTTTCAATAAATTAAATTTCTTCTTTTATGGTTAAAGATGCTTTTTAATGTCTAATGAGGACACTTGAGGTCAATATAGACCACACTGAATCTGGAGCAAGATAAGTAATCATGTGATATGAATTACCTGAGAGTGCTTGTTTCCATAAATGCTTGTTAGTTCATTCATCTTTCTTCTAATGGTTTGGTATCCACAGCCCTCGGACTTCCTACTTCTCTAGTTCATATTTGGATTAACAACCCTGTTTCTGAGCTGAGACTGACATATGCTCTTATTTATATAATGATGTATTTAAATGGATATGGATCCAAACTAAATGGAAGGTCTTTGTAATTCTTCCCACTTCAGTCCCATATTGGCTTTGCTGGAATGGGTAAAATGTCCTGCTTATATTTTTGCTAATCCAGATGTATTTTCTTCAACCCACATTTAATGAAGAGGGATGAAGCATTGCACAAATATTTTGTAAAAAAAAAAAAAAAAGAAAATAGTAAAAAGATGAGTACAAGAACAAATAAACTTGGATAATTTCCAGACGCGTCTAATACAACACTAGTGCACTGCAGTAACTAAGCAGGAAATGGGAAATGTTAAATGATACAAATTATTTTTCCTTAATTAATATGATTGATTGCTAGGAGTTGACGTTGAAAGGAGAGCTGGGTGGGGTGTGTGTGTGAAGGGAAAGTTTGCACAGACATCATTAGTTTTTCCCCATTTAAAGATTAATCAGAAGAGGCTGGGCTCTTTAATTCTGTCATTTGTATATTTAATGGGCTGCTGCAGAATCTATGGGTGTAATTAGCTAGCTGCCGTGCTCTCATTAATACGCCAGGCTCTGATTAATGCCAGCAGAGAGCTAACATGACTGGAGTTATTCAGGTTATGTTGTGTAGATGATTACACACAACCTCCACTGTTTACTGAGACAGAGAGGAGAAACAATGCACAAGAAACAATACCATCTCATAAATAAGACCCCCTACACTGTAAACGGATAAATGTTGGTATCTGTTAATGCTACACATCATGAAATATTTAATTGTTCTTTAAAACAAAATGTGTGTTAAACTTTTTCTGACACTGATTATGAACTTTGCCTTTGGTGCTAGTCTCTCAACAATGTGATGACAACTGAAAATACCAATGTTGCCAAATTTATAACATTAAAATATTCTACCAGAAATCAGAACAGTCACCAAATGTTTTCATTTGGACTCCATTTAACACATGAAGTTCACTCAAAAGTAATATTTGGGCCAATTTACAAGAATCGTAAGCTATCAAAATACAGTCCTCCCTTGCACCATGATGTTCAGCTGCTAAAATGCACGAAAATGCAGTATGTAAAAGCACTTGATAAAATATAGTTAATGGGTTCACCAACTATTCATTTGTGTCCAGAGATTCAAAGAAGTTAGAAAATGATATAATCAAAAGTTCTAGTTTGAAAAGGCAGAGTTAAGCACACACGTTATTCATACTTTTTTTTTTGTTATGTTTTTGTTGCAACATGGACTTTAGTAACTAAAAAATTTCCTTTCTTGTTTCATTTTTCTTCAACCCCTCACTCCTGGAGTTGCTCTGTCTGATGTGTTCTTGTGCTCTTGTAAATCAGACAAGTTTGAAAGAAGGATTTGAGTTCCAGTCGGGTGTGATGTTCCAAAAGTTTCTTTAGCAACAGTACAACTATAAATGATATTTTCTTTCTGAGGGCTAGTGTACGTTAATTCTAGACTACATTTTTTACAAATCTGAAATGTGTGATAGCATTGTCTTATTTCAACACAGTCAGTGTGGTCCCACACTATGTAATTTGGTTTTCTTTGACTGGTGCTTGGAGCTGCTTGAATGTTACGGGCTGTTGGGCTTCAACCAAAAGGATTTCCTGTATGAATGTCTTTCTTTTGGGAACAATGTAAGGCATATCATATTCTTAAGCAGGAACTTGACCTCTCTTTGCTGGCCCCTTTTAAGAAGGAGCTAGTCTAGTCACTGATCTGGGTGTGAAGTTGGATGCATCACTGAAGCTAGAGACTCATAGGCCCAATCCCAATACTTGCACTATGCCTTGCGGTCTTCAGCAAAGTGTACTTGGAGACAGTACGCAGTAAGGCT